TTTCATTTTTCTTTTCATCTTTGGAAAGATCTTATTGAGCAACAGTCTATGGTGTGAAAGTTAAATGTAAATATGTCAAAGTATGTTGTCTTAGTCTAGTTACTTCTGTAACTTCTGGATTCTTGAGTGCACCTATATATAAGCCACACCCACTAACTTTGAGGGGGAAAAAAACATCGGCCACCCAGATCATTCATGAAACTTCTTTGGAAGTGTGGCCAGTGGATGCTGACATAAGCTTTGGGGACATTTGTGCTGCTTAACATTCACAGTGCTGGTTCTGTTGGACCTTTGACACTCTTGACAGTGACATATTACTGAAACTACTGGAGAAGACTCTCTTGGACTCTCCAGTCTAGACCCCATTTATAGGGATTTCTTTGTTTCAATAGGTAACTTCTCATTGAACCAAAGAGAAATCACAAGTGGGATACCCCAAAGTTCAATTCTCTGAACCCTCTTATTCAATATCGACATACTCCCACTGGCTCCAGTTAGAGCAGGAGGTAAGTTTAGTTACCATAACTTTACAGGTGATACATAATTCTGCATTACAATGTCACCAGATGACTATAAACCCATTCAAGTGCTGAACAGATGCTGAAGGTCTAATGTCTCAGTAGGTTCTGCAGAAACACATCCATGTGTTTATCTTAAATGTCATTGATTTCTGCAACAGTGTTTTCACAAATCTGCCTAAAAGAATCAATCCTTCAGCTGCAGCTGATCCTAAACACTGCTGCTAGTATTCTGATTCAAACTAGGAAGAAAGAGGATTTCACCCAGTTCTAAAATCCTTAAACTGAAAAATAGACTTTAAAATACTGTTGTTAGTTTATAAATAACTGAACAGCTTAGCATCACAAAACGTTAAAGATCTTTTAATGCTTTATGGTCTGGAAGATTGTTAGATTAATCTTCCAGACCTGTCAGATTTTCTGGTTCTGGTTCTGGTCTGCGTCCTCAGAACTAGAATCAAATATGGAGAAGCAACATTCAGCTTCTATGCACCACAAATCTCGAACGAACTTCCAGAAAATTGCAAATCAGTTGAAACACTGATATTCTTTAAATCTCGACTAAAAATCCATTAACCCTAACCCTGTTGAACCAGAATAAATTACACATTAATCAACATTCTGATGTGTAACGATGTCACTTGGAAAAATGTTATGTTTCAATTGTTAACTTTTGTTTTTTTTATGTAAAACACTTTGAACTGCCTTTTTTGCTGAAATATGCTATACAGATAAACGTGATGATCCCACTATACTGTGTCTGAAGAACAGTGTGTCCCTTCATGCTGATGGACATTGTCTGATAGACAGTATGAAGCTGCTGCTGACCTGCAGAGCTCTCTCAGTTCCATTCTACTGCATCTTTAATGAAGACAGGAGCTTTAAAGCAGATCCTTCCTCCCAGCAGACTCACTGATTGGTATACTGCTCTGCAAGATCTCATTGAAATGTTTGCTACAAACAGTAGACATGAAGCAAATGTTGCCGTTTCAACTCGTCCTCCTCTGGACTCAGGACCTGGGTCCTGGAACCAGCAGGAAAGAGTTCACTTCACACAGGATAACTTTGTTTTCCTTTTTTATTATTTAGAGGAATTTGTAACAAATGTGTGCTGGGCTTTATTTGGGTCAGATTTGCTGTTTATGTGGGTGTAGAACTGAGCGTCAGGAGCCACATTGTGGATTCTGTGGGCCATGTGCACGGCATGCGTGTGGCCTGTATTTGTGTGGGTCGGACACATTGTAATGGCTTTGTGTGCCACCAGGATGAGACAATTTGGGGATTTGGCTGTGTTTGTGTGAGTAAGATGCAGTGAGTGCTTTTGTGCATCCCTGGTCTCACACACTCTTCCTCAGTCACTCTATGGTTGTTGCTCTCAATAATACATTGATCCATCTCTTTGTCACAGAGCAGCCCACTTTTTCTTGGTAAAAAGTTGGCTATTTACCACACCGCAGACTTAAAAGTGTCTGGAAAAGTCGCTACTTATAGTATGGAAATTGCGGTAATTGAACAAAAATGTCCCACTAGTACCAGTTTCTACATGTGCCAAAACACGTAGAAACTGTGTTTCAACATGGAGAAACTGTGTTTTTACAGATACATTAGGGGAAAATCTGGACTTTCTGGATTTTCAACCCAATCAACTATTGGTTCTTCAACTGAACAATGAAAATATAGCTGCATTTTGGTAATTTAAATAACTGTTGCATCAGTGTATCGGTAGCTATAACTGTAATCTAAATTTCTCCAAGGAGCAGAACCAGCGAGCTGCATTGTGGTCACTATTAGAACTGTAAAAAAAAATTTATCTACATTGATGTGAATATCACTTACTACAAAGCTAATTGAAATGATTAACAATTAATCATGATGGCTACTAAGTTTTGGAACCAAACAGAGAATTACAAGTATAGAAAAATATTGCCTGAATGCTTTTGACAAGTTTTCTTCAGTGGTTCATTCAGTTTCTCCTCCCCTCCAGGGAGTTTTGCATTTCTACAATTAATTATTTTTTCTTGTCACCATTACGCCTGCCAGCAATCCAAAATCTTTGCCCCCCCCTTCTACACCCACTCAGGCGAGTCCTGAATGAACATTTATTCAAATTAGAGCTTCAACTGACAAAAAGCCAGTTCCAGTAATCCCTCCCGCCCCGCATCAAGTAATATCTGATGATTAACTGAAGAAGCTAATCATTACACTTTCTAATTGACTAAATGAGTCAACAAAGAGAGAAAGCACAGAAATCAGTAATTACCTGCTTGTTAAGAGCACAGGGGGGGAGGAAGTGAAGAGGAGATTCAAGGAGAAGAAATGATGTTAAACAATGTGAAAAGCAACCACTGTAACTTTGTACTGGGCTCTTTGTTAATTTCAGAGCTACCATGCAAGTTCTAAAAGAAAATTTCTCCTAAGAAGCGATTTTATTCATTACTGCAATTTATATTGTATTTTGCCATCACATAAACATAAGTCTAAAGTCAGGCTGTGCTCACATGCTGGCTGCAAAATGACAGTATTTGTGGATGTTGTTTGGGGACATTTCAACGTTTAGACACAGCATCACTGTTTAGACGACCACCAAGACACCTGCAGTTATCATGCCAGGGCACTAGATGGCACTGTGGTTTTAGTATGTTGTCAAATCACTTTGACCTCACAGCTCACTCTGGTATCTGTATTAAACACAAAGGTCATCTCTATGACACGCGTATAAGCAGTATGAGAGGATGAGTCAAACTGAACGAGTCAAGTAGCACACAGCACAATGCAGTCCATGATTGGTTTAGTTGTTGTCTGCCTGTGCATGCGTAGAGCAAACTCTGCAGCCGTGAGTCCTGTTGATGTGTGCTTTCACACTGGTGGAGTACAATGCACTTCTGTCAGAGATGTTCCATTCAGAAAAGATCCTCTCTGAGACCTGGAGTGTAAAAGAGAGACTGGAACTCAACTAAGAGGCTACGGTTTCACTGAAACCATATGCTCCATATTTTAGACTTAAGTAGGGTCTTGATTAGTAGAATCTCAGCTACTTAACTTGATTTCAGTCCAGTTTAAAACTATATGTTGTATTATCTGCATTATACAGGTTTTCAGTGTGTTACCCAAACTTCCCTCACATGGATGGGAACATGTGCTACTATAAAATCTCAAAATAACACCTTTGCATTTTGATTGCACAATAAAACTGCATGTTATAGGACAATATGAAATATGTGATAAAATTGATGTATGTCCTGGTGACACTGTGACACCTGATAAGCAAACATACAACTAAAAATGTTCTAAAATCTTATTATGTATTTTTATTATGTGTTGAACATAAAAACAAATCAGAGATGGCAGATGATCCAAAATAAAAACTCATGAAATATACAGTTGTGGACAGAGAACACAAAAATTATACTCAAGTAAGAGTAGCACTACGTCAATATATTTTTACTCAAGTAAAAGCAAAAAGTAGCCAACAAAGAAATTACTCACAAAAGAAAAAAGTATTTGGTAAAAAGTCTACTCAAATGCTGAAGAACCCATCAAATGTTCAATCATTCAATATGTAAAAATTACATAATCAGACAGACCAAAATATAAAGTAAATGGGAAATTTTGGTATGTTAAGGACGAAAAGGACAATTATTCATATAACAAAACAGTCAGGCAAAATAAAAAAATTTCCAAATCAGTTTCTTTCAACATAAAACTTATGAAACGTTCACAAAAACTGCAGGTGTGTGTCTATCTCATGAATTTTTGGTTTAAACCTATTTGTTCTTCATTGAGTAGGTAGAGAATCCAGAAATTTTACTCATGTAAGAGTAGATAAAATTATTCAAGTAAAGGTAGAAAGTGCAACATAGTAAAAATACTCCTGAAAGTAAATTTTCTAAAACATTACTCAAGTAAATGTAATTGAGTATATGTCTCTAGATTCTAAAAAAATCTGGATATATAAGAATAGATCTGCTCTTTTAGTAATGAAACAATTCAACTGTAATATCCTAATGCTTCCATAAAACAGTTCGACCAACATTAGTGACAATGTCAGTGAAGAGCCTAATGAATGGTACTTATAATATATATTGCAGTGAACTCAGCACTTTTCCTTTAGAACAAAGATGTTATCTTGTGACATCAGTCGTAACTCACCTTAGGTAAACAGTCTTTAGTATGAATAATGAACTTGTATTTAACTAACCATAATGATTTTCTCACACCCATTAGACAGAAGTGAAATGTCGGGAGAAACAAAAATGGCCAAAGAGTAAAGCTTTCAAAAATCTCATATGATCAGTTTTTTTTTCTTAACCAACTCAAAGTAGTCAGCAAAAACTTAACAAATTAGGACACTAGCAGGAAGCCCCACACAATTGGGGTAACTGGGAATCAAATGTTTGTGTCTGATGTGGTAGATGACACCCTGACCAAAGTTATTCTGTCATAATAATGCTTGATCTGGCTGCACTTGATCTGAATTGGTACCTGTTTCCATGGATATGTGAGGCACAGAAAGCATAGCTGTAATGTAACAGCATGGGGTCAACCAGCACGCTGTTCTCGGCATAGTCCATGAGATCCTTCAGGTAGCTCAGGTGGCGGTGGCAGCCTCGAACCCCGTACCGAGCGCAGTACTCATCCAGGACAAACACCTGGCCAGGACTGAACCAGCCCTGAGGACAAGTATGACAATTAACCTGCAGCTATGTACACTACCATACATAGCTGGACAGAGTTCTCTATATTACCACAAAGGATTTTAAATGAAACAACTCAGATACAGCTGAAGTGCAGACCTTCAGCTTTGATTCAGTGGGTTGAACTAAATGATTGCACAATTTATGAGGAAATAAAGAACAGAGTTAAAAGACAAAATTAAATAAATACATCAATTTTTGATTATATGCAAATAAAGCAATGTTTAATTTATTTCACAAACAATGCATTAAATATCTCATTAAATTATTCAAATGCAAACTTAAACAGGTTGATGCCGATAAATAAATGTAGATTAATTCTTCCTATGCCTGAAGCATCACCATGAAATAATTTTAACCATCAAACCCAGAGATCAAAGCCAAGGGACTTACACTGATCAGTTAAACTCCAATAGTATAGCCCGCTTTTGAAAACCATGTAATGGAGGATTTGCAGGAGTTGTCCTAAGAGTTTGTTGGAGAGAAAACGTTTGACGCCCTGAGATGAAATTATTGTGTTAAAAAACATTTAGTTCCTCACATTTTTATGCACGTTTTAGATCAACCTACTGAGTTAAAGCTGAAAGGCTGCACTTGATATGAATTGTATCATTTAAAATGTATTACACATAACCAAAATGAGGAAAAAAGTTGATTCTGTCTATATACGAATGGACTAGTGGACAGCGTCAAATAGAATCAACCAATCAAATTTTATTTGTATAGCACATTTCAGCAGCAAGGCATTTCAAAGACAAACACAAAAGCACAAAGTCATGCAACATAGAATAAACAATAAATTAAGTTCCATCATTAAATTTTTAATTGATTACGTTTCAAATACAATTCTAAACAGGTGCGCTTTTAGTCGAGATTTAAAGGAAGTCAGTGTTTCAGCTGACTTCTTTTAGAATATGGACTGTAGACAGAAAAAAACCTTAGATTATGAAACGGCAGGTTGACATAAAAGTTATTACCTCTCTACAGGTTTATGAAGAATATGTAAGAAAAGGCTGAAAGGTGTGGAACAATTTGAAAATCCTGAGATTTACATTACTTCATTTATCTGGTGTGTAATCACTAAATTAGGCATGAAGCTTACAACACTAATTAAGATTCTGCACTGAGAAACATTAACAAATTAGCACCTCCACGGAGCTGGTTCCACATACACACACACGTACAGTGGAGCACAGCCGTGGAGCAGTGCCAAGCAACCAGTGACCCAGGAAGGAAGATGAGCAGCAGAGAAACTGTTTCACCTTCAGAACAGTTGGTTCCCTCTGAAGATCAAAACTCAACCAGACATTGCAATATTAATATGAAAAGCTAAAGCCATATTCATATTGTTGGTTGGTTTTCATACATGTTCTTCTTTTGGCTGATAAATCCTTCCTTGGAAACTTGGCAGGTAATCTGCTTGGTCTGCAGATGCTGAGAACACACCTACACACGCATGTCTGTGTTTGGTTAGTCCCAGCTAACTGTGCTGAGTATGTCTGCACAGAATCATTCACGTCTCTGGTAGATTTACATTTACTGTTAGAACAAGTTGGGCTCTTATTGTTTCCCAGGAAATAACAGAGGGAAGGTCATTCAAAAAATAACTATTTATTTATACTTTATTATAAAATAACTTGATGAAAATTACTTTCTTCCTCTCAATCATCAATAGAAAGGCCTTATTTGGAATTAGAGCAAACAAACTGTTATTATAATTGCTGAGCAGCTTTTGTCATGTTTCCATTCAAACTAACCATATCTTCCCTGACTTTTCACAACTAATTCACCAAAATGACAAAAACAGATCTGGTGTTGGCAGAGACCAGGGTCCTGGGACTGGTCAAGTCTCTCTGAACTGACCACCCAAAGTTTTGGCAAGGAGTGATACTGAACTAAAGATCAGTGTTCTTTTGCTATGTACACAGTAAAACACCTTTTATATGAAAGAGCAATCTGCACAAGAAGAGAAGGAAGTGCATTAGGCTGTAGAACACTGACATGGCAAGGAAAGTATTGAGAAATACAAAAAACAGTTTTACAACATTGGCCTTAAGTAAATTGAAAGTAAAAGTTACGAAAATGACAAAAATTTGAAAAAAGTTATTTTTAGAAAATACATTTATGGTCTCATTGTAAGGTCTCATTGTATGGTCTCATTGAATCATCTTCTGACTTTCAGTAATGCCCACCTCTTCATTTGAACAGTATATAAAATCTGCAATTGCACAGAATAATAAACATTTCTTAAAGGAACATCAGATTTTTTTTTGAAATTGTCAGGATTGCGTCTGCAGACCTTTCATTGACCCTCCACCCTTCATTACTTTACTTAAGTTTCTTTATTTATTTTTCTCTGTGGGCTTGAGCTATTAATATCACACCACAGAGAGAGAAGGGGGCTCACTGATGGGCGTGAAGCGACAAGATGTTCCTCTGTGACAAACAGATGGCGCACTCCAGTCTTGGCTCTGACCGCTCAATTAGCAGCTAACAAGCAGAATGCCTCGTTAGGCTTCCATCAGCCGTGGCTGTGCGTCTCTGTGTCAGAGCAACAGCGTCTGCCGCCCCCCTCTGAGGGACGGCACAAGCCAAGATCAGTCCAAGCAATGGCAGCTTTGAAGCTAAAAACACCTTTGCCTGTTTTCTTTTATCCATTCTTCTTTTTTGGGGGGTTTGTGACTCGAAGATCATTTCAAATCACTTCTCTCATTATCACTGAACCAAAATATTGTCTCAGTTAACAAGTCACAACTCTGAGAATGATTGCAGGAGTAAAAATAGAAATAATAATAAAAAAAATAATGATAAAAAAAATGCTGTTCTTGTAGCTTATGTTGACTCTGGTAATAGTTTGGAACAGAGCCATTTAATAATTTCCTAGAATGGTAACAGAAGTGAAAGCAAATGGAAGAATACACCTGAGTCGACATCTGGAGAGAAACCAGTTAGAGATCACAATCTAATCAAAAGCATGAGACCTGAAGCTCCGGAAGCTGTTCTCCATCACGGCCACAACAGATCCTTTGGTTCAATTGTGTTCTCAACAATGTATCTTATTTCAGAAGTTTTACTATCGTCCACTTCTATAAAGATATGATCAGGTCCATGCCAATGCTTTGCATGATTTGCTTCTAGTGCTCAATCTGAAACAAATTGCAGCTGATAGAAAATATGGGGCAGTTTTGGGGTTCTGGCCTCCTCTGAAGGATCCAGACATCAGCAGCTGTGTGCTGCCAGTTGGCTCACAGCTCATTCTGGAAATCATTCATTAATGATCAGTCATTATTAATAAATATAATGAGACATACAGTAATATTTTGTTTATGAACTCAGAATGACAGCAACCAGTTGTGACTGGTTTTCTAAGCAAATGCTGTTCGCTGGGGATCTGGGTTTCACCTTCAAAGCAGCTTTAAACTGAGCTGTAGTACAAGTGTGGAGTCAGGAAACGCCACTGTAGAATTAATACCTCAAGAAGGTTTTTTATTAATCTTTTATCCTGTCACAACCACAATTTAAAATGTAGTCATGTGTGGTGTCTTTCCTAATAAGAAAATTAATCATTTCAAATTTAAAGAACTAACATGATTTTAAAATTTTTATGTTGCAGTTGCTGGGCTAGACTTTTTTGTTGTCTGTCATTTTTACTGACTGGGTAAAAAAAAATCTCATCTATTTTTAAAGTGACAATGATAAAATGTTGGGCTTGCATTTTTATTGAAAGCCCAGTCTAACACGAGAAATGAAATGTCTCCAGGGAACTTGCTGCAGAGGCTCTGAGGTTTTCAACATTTGCATCACAGAGACTCTTGGTTATACATGGTGGACTGACAGGGTGGAGCAGCTGGAGACGTAGTAGGACTCGGACATCCACCTGGATTGACAGTACGATTTCTTCCTGGAGGAGGCCATGAGCTGACATACTGCTGCCATCAACTAATCATTCTCTCGATCCTGCTATTATCTTTTTATTTTGATGAACATCAAAAGTAATCCTACATCAGTTTACCTGTTCTTTCTTGTACATTCTGCTCTATCTTCTCCAACTCCCAGTCAGTCGTGGCACATAGCCACTTTTGCTGATCCAGGCTTTGGTTTTGCTTCCATTGTCACTACATGCCTGCTCAGTATGAGGGATTGATGTAAAGTCAATGACATAACACGAGTGACTGTCACTATGTACTATGTCAAGGAGTAGTGAATGCTGCAAGTTAATGACTTGATGCTCTGCTGGGTTTCCTTAGAAATTTAAAGCTACTTTTAATAATGAACTGAGCTTCATTTACTGTTTGACAACTAGCATCAATTGGAAAGTATCTTGACTGGATTAAATTGTATTTTTTTGTAAAGTGCATTGAGACAGCATTTGAAATGGTGCTACATAAACAAACTTGAAATATTTTTAGATGTTCTCCATACAGTCCAACTGACAAACTTTTCCAATAAATACTGAGCAGAAATATGGATCTGTAGCCATACAAATCTGGTAGAGACAAACTAGCAACCAGCTGTTTAACATCCACTAGCAGGTGGTTCTACATAGTATTGACTCAAGTGGGCTGAATACAAAAATACTCTACACTTAAGACATTTTTATTATAAATAATAAAAAACAAAACCTTGTAGACTTTTATTTCACTATTACAAATAGCTCATCACATAATATGGCCACTAAATACATTGTGACAACATGGGAGTTCAAGGTGTATAAAACTGAATACCAGTAAAGTACAAGTAAAATAGAAAGAAGGTGCAGGTTGTTTATCAAAGCACATGAATCTATATTTCAGATGCATGTGGTGATGGCTGAATGTGACTGGAGCCATCCGTTCCAACTTCAGCCGTTGTCTGATAAGCAGACATTTACCTAAATCACTGAAATGGGATTGATATTCAAACAAAACGAAGGCTTGAATCTTGTAGATGCATAGACTTGCCTAATTATTTCAGGATCTGTTCAGACAAAAATAAGA